CTGTCTAATTTGGGGCCTAGCAGGTATAAAAGCAGACTTCTGTGACTCAAGGTCCACCTAGATTTTGGGGAAGTTTCAATGCCTTAGGGAAGACTAGCGAAGCCCGTTACACTCCCACCCTGACAGAAAGAATTCTATAGCTAATCTGCCACAGTGTTCCAGGTAAAGCATATGTTTATAACTACAGAAGGTTTCAAATTAACATGTAAATTTAAAATGTAGCATTTCAGCAACAAATAAGCTTAGAGAGCTCATCTCAAAAGTGAAACAACAAAACTATTGCTCAGACATCTGAAAAGTGAAGCTGCTGCTATCAGCTCCACCCCACTCTCAGGCTCAGGCAGACACATAAGGCGGGGACAGCTCCTTGGCAGGGCCATTCACAATGGCATCACCATGTGGGGTAACAGCAACGTAGTGTCATTGTTGGTGACATCCAGCACGTCAGAGGAGTTCCTGCCATTGATGTATTTGGTGGCAGTTCCAAATCACAGCTAATCAAGTAACACTTAAAAGTCAAGATAATGCTAATAAACAGAAGAATAATAAGGACCCAACAGGTAGGATTCACGGACATGATATTATCTTTGCAGGGAAAATTAGGAGGCAGCTGCCCGTATGCATGCCTGAATGGAGTTTGGATAAACAAGCACAGTGACTGCAACCAATGTGTTCAGGGCAAAATGGAAGATCTGGTAACATAAGAATAAGATGACCCGCGCAGTGTGTTGCTTATATGCTCCATAAGTAGCCACTGCACACATCAGGATCATGAGAAGAGAAATTGCAATAGCAATGCCCATGTTGGTATCATTCATGAACTCAAAGTCACCTCCTAGTTCAGAACTTGAAAAGTGATGCTGGTCTGGGTCAGCCATGGCCCTCAATAAAATCACCAGTACCACAGCATTGACGATCTTTAGGACTTGCAGCCTTTTTGTCACCGAGGACCTTTCCCTTGTCTTCTTACACTCCCAATTTTCCACTCCTTATATCATCCCCTTACCTCCTTCTTCCGAGTTCAGGTCCCCAATGGACTCTTGATGGATATTTGCATTGTTTCCAGTTTTGGACTGTTAAGAATAAAGCTGCCCAATCTTTGTATGGACATATGCTTTTATTTCCCTATGAGTGGAATGGCTAGATTATAAAGTAGGTGTATGTTTACCTTTAAAAGAAAATACCACATTGTTTCTAATGTGGAAATACTATTTATTAATACATTCCCAGTCCCAGTTGTTCCACATGTTCTCCAATACTTGATATGTATCTTAGACCATTCAGGCTGCTATTACAAAGTGCCATAAACTGGGTGGCTTATAAATGACAGAAATGTATATCTCACAGTTCTGGAGGCTGGAAATCCAAGATCCAGATGCCAGCATGGTTGGGATCTGGTGAGGGCTCTCCTCTGGTTTGCAGACTGCTGTCTTCTTGTTGTAGCCTCACGTGGCAGAAAGAGGGCAAGAGAGCCCTCTGGGATCCCTTTTATAAGGGCACTAATCCCATTCTTGAGGGCTCCGTATTCACGACCTAAATACCTCCCAAAGGTCCCACCTCCTAATACCACCACACTGGGGGTTGGGATTTCAATATATGAATTTCGAGGGGACACAAACATCAGTTCATTATAGTATGGTCAGTCTTTTTAATTTTAGCCATCCTAGTAGGTGTCTATTTTAATTTGCATTACCTTAAGAACTACTGATGTTGAGCATCTTTTCATGTGCTTATTTGTCCTATGTATATCTTTTTTGTTGAAGTGTTTCTTCAAATTTTTTGCCCATTTATTAATTGGGTTGTTTTCTTGAGTTTTGAGAGGTTTTCTTTGTTTTTTTTTTTTTTAATTTTTAAATCTTTTTGTATTTTTTGAGACAGAGTCTTCCTCTGTTGCCCAGGCTAGAGTGCTGTGTCGTTAGCCTAGCTCACAGCAACCTCAAACTGCTGGGCTCAAGTGATCCTCCTGCCTCAGCCTCCTGAGTAGCTGAGAATACAGGCATGTGCTACCACGCCCAAATGATTTTTTTCTATTTTTAGTTGCCTGGCTATTTTTTTTTCTATTTTTTAGTAGAGACAGGGTCTCACTCTTGCTCAGGCTAGTCCTGAACTCCTGAGCTCAAGTGATTCTCCCGCCTCGGCCTCCTAGAGTGCTAGGATTACAGGCATGAGCCACTGCGCCTGGCCTGAGAGTTCTTTATATATTTTGGATACAAGTCCTTTATGAGACATATGATTTATAAGCAATTTCTCCTAGTTTGTGGCCTGTCTTTTCATTCACTTTGCAATGTCTTTGAAAGAGCAGAAGTTTTTAATTTTGATGAAGTCAAATTTATTATTATTTTCTTTTATGGTTAGTGCTTTTTCTTCTTTTTCTCCCTCCTCTTTTTTTTGTCCCGAGAAATCTTTACCTACCACAACATCACAAAAATGTTCTCCTGTGTTATCTTCAAGAACCTTTATAAGTTTTAGCTTTTACATTTAGGTCTATGGTCCATCTAAAATGAATTTTTTGTATGGTGTGAGGTAGGGTTGAGATTCTTTTTATTTTTTACGGATTACAATATGCATTTTTGTCATGATCTACCTTGAATTAATCTTATACTGCTTCGTGTATAATGTAAGATCCTTATAAGAGAATTTCAATTTACCTCCCTTCTCGTCCTTTATGCAATTGTTGTCATATTTTTTAGTTACATATAAACTCCACAATACATTGTTACTTTTGCTTTAAACAGTCATATCTGTTAAACAATTAAGGTGACAAAAGAGTAGTCTTTTATATTTAGTGACATACTTACCATTTTCATTGTTCTTTATATCTTCCTATGGATCTGATTTTCATCTAGCATCATTTTCCTTCAGGCTGGAGAATGTCTTCATTTCTTTTTGTGCAGAAGACCTGCTGGAGATGAATTTTCTCAGATTTTGTTTATCTGAAAGTATCTCTATTTTCCTTCATTTCTGAAGATATTTTCACTGGATATAGAATTCTAGGTCACCAGACTTTTACTTTTCTTTCAGCACTTAAAGACATCATTCTATTTTCTTATGGCCTCCATTGTCCCTGATAAGTTAGCTATTGTCTTAGTTCAGTCAGGCTGCTATAACAAAAATACCATAAACTAGGTGGGTTAGAAACAACAAACATTTATTTCTCACAGTTCTTGAGGCTGGGAAGTCCAAGATCAAGGCATTGACAAATTTGGTGTCTGGTGAGGGCCCATTCCTAATAGATAGCACCTTCTCTTTGTGTTCTCACATGGCAGAAGGGGAAGGAAGCTCTCTGGGGTCTCTTTTACAAGGGCACTAATCCCATTCATGAGAGCTCCACTCTTATGTCCTAACCACTTCTCAAAGTCTCCACCTCCTTATACCATCACCTTGGGGTTAGGATTTCAACATATGAATTTTGGGGGGACATAAACATTCAAATTATAACTGTGATTAGTTTTTACTATTAGCTTACTCTATGCAAAATGTCTTTTTTCTTTGGATGCTTTTAAGAATTTTCTATTTTTGGTTTTCAGCAGTTTGACTATAATGTGCCTAGGGGTGTGTGTGTACGTGTGTTTTATGTTACTTGGGGCTTGCTGAGTTTCTTGTTTTAATCAAATTTGGGAAGTTGTCTTCAATTATTTTTCAGCCATATTCTCTCTCTCCTCTCCTTTGGGACTCCAAATACCTGCATACTAGTCTAATTGCTTGATACTGTCCCACAGGTCATTCCCCAATCTTTTTTCTCTCTGTGCTTCACTTTGGTTAATAACCATTGACCTCTCTTCAAGTTCATGAAACTTTTCTTCTGCAGTGTTTAATCTATTGATTTTATTCATTGATTTAAAAAATTTCAGATATTGTATTATTTCAGTATTAAGATTTCCATTGGGCTCCTTTTTAGAGTTTCCATACTTTGTCTAAAATTCAGATTCCCTGTCTTCATCCATTATAGCCATCTTTTCCTGTAAATTCTCCAACATATTTATAAAAACTCTTTGATAATTCTAACATATGGGCTGTCTGTGGACCAGCTTCTGTTAATTGTTCTTTTCTTCTTGATAAGTGTCATGTTTTGCTGCTTTGTCACATGTCTAGTATTATTCTTTTTTTTTTTAGAGACAGGGTCTCACTATGTTGCCCAGGCTGGTTTTGAACTCCTGGCGCCAAGCGATCCTCCTGTTTTGGCCTCTCAAAGTGCTGGGATTACAGGCATGAGCCACTGTACCTGGCCTATTTGATTATATCCTGGATACTGTGGATGATAGTTGTAGAAACTCTGGATTCTCTTGTCTTCCTTTAAAAAGTGTAGAATTTTGTTCTGGCATCCAGTTAAGCTACTCGCAGATAACCTTTATCTCGAAAGGCGTGGTTTTAGGTTTTGTTAGGGTAGGCTTATTTCACTTTTGCCCTTAGTCATGGGAAATGGTCTTCGCTCCTAAAGCATGGTCCTTTGGGGTTTCAATGGAAAGCTTGAGGTATTTTACAAGCTCTTCTAACTTGCTGGACCTTGAACTCTTAACCTGCTTCCCATTATGGGGCAACTGTTGAAATCTCTGTTTAGGTCTTTTGGTCTTCAGTTCTTGCTTTCCCCTTAGGCTCCTTGGACTCACTCAACACACAGGCACTTCAGGACTCAGCCATGGATATAAGGGGAATCTGTATACTAATTTTGTGGCTCCTCTTTTGACATTCCTTTTTTCTCCTGTTTTCCTTCCTCAATTTCCAGCCACCATGGCAGCTATAAGTGCTGACCTCTACGTTGTCAGCTTGCTTTCTGCTTGAGCTCTACTCCCCATGTGCTGCATGGATTGAAAATGCCCTGGGAGGAAAAAAAATCAGTTAAATTTGGATCTCACCTAGTTTGCTTCTCTTCTTTGAAGGGTTGCATCCACTCTGGTTGCCTGTTTTGGTTGTTCTCCAGTGCTTTCAAAAAATTTAAAAAAATATTTTGTCCAGAGTATGCAGTAGCTATCAGTAGGAATGTTAGTCTGATACAAGCTACTATGGCCATCATTGCAAGTAGAACTCACCCAAATATGTTAATGATTTTTAAAAAAAATTGTTTGGTGCCCTGCTTTTCTGGCTCACTGAACACATACTTAGTCTTCATACTGGGTAAACCAATACAGTTTTGTTGTCTGTTCTGAGAATTTACTTGACTTAATTTAAATTTCACTAAATAATCCAGTAAGTCAGTTACTGTTCCTAGTGGCTATCAAAGTTTCAGAGGCTGAAATTAAGTCCCTAATAGTGACAATGTCTTGAATGTTTAATTAAAGTTTAAAATAAACTTTAATCTATTTTTCTAAAATAGGTAATACATTCAATCGTTCAAAATTTAAGGCTGGGCATGGTGGCTCATGCCTGTAATCCTAGCACTCTGGGAGGCCGAGGTGGGAGGATTGCTTGAGCTCAGGAGTTCAAGACTAGCCTGGGCAAGAGTGAGATCCTGTCTCTACAAAAAAGAAAGAAAGAAGAAAAAAAACTCCAGCCAGGCTTGCCTGTAGTCCCAGCTACCCGGGAGGCTGAGGCAGAAGGATCACTTGAGCCCAGGAGTTGGAGGCTGCAGTGAGCTACAATGACACCACTGCACTCTACCCAGAGTGACAGAGTGAGACTCTGTCTCCACAAAAACAAACAAGGCAACTGAACACCCCTCCTCACAACCCCCAACCCCTTTAAAAAAATTTAAAAGGTAAAAAGGATATACAATGAAGAGCTTTACTCTCACCCTTCTTACATGTGTTTGTTAAATACAGGCAGCTACCTTTTTGATCTCTTGCATTATACGAATTGGTCATATCCTGCCCATTATAATCCCATGAGTTCCTTGACAAAGAGTTTTTAAAATAAATGACATCCTCTAGCAGGAATCCTCACAGAAAAAGGCATCTATTCCATTTAATTCTGCAAACATTTATTGAGCCATACAGTGTGCCTGGAACAATGTTAGCTATTGTAAGGTACAAACATGAGTCATATGATTGAGAGTGTACTTTTCTTAATTAGAAAGAAGAAGAGAGTAGAATGAAGGGCTATTTGTAAGGAAACCTGATGCTTTCTACTTGACCCAGTTGGAAGAGCTGATAGAAAAAGGTTCCGTCCCTATCTAGCTGAGGCCTAGAGTTAAGGTTATATTCTTGGCCCTGTCTCCCTAACAGAGTGTCTCCACAGTCCAGCAGCAGCCCTGTTCACAGCCAAGCTGAGCACAGGGTCCAAGAACCTTGCCGGAAGCTTGATGTCTATCTCATAGTACTTAGGGAGGGGAAAAAGCTAAGCGAAATCTCTTCAACATCAGAATGTTAAAGTTCCAACAGTTTACAACTGAAGAGATGCTCAAAGCTCTGAGTATTTTCCAGCTAAGTCTGGGCTAAATCCCCTTCCCAGCCACTGAGAAAACATGGAGTGTCCACATCAGGTGGACTGAAAAGACACTGGAAGCCGAGCAAACCTACAGAGGTGGCAGAAAGTGTATTCAACACATCCCTTGTGTGGCTGCACCTTCAGGTTCCTGCAGGGACTTGGGTAGGCAAGGCAGGGTAATGTGTCCATGGTGGGAAGGAGTGAATGGCAGGCCAGGGGTGTCTGCAAGGAATTTGAGAGTACTGATGAGGAGGGGTAGAAACTATGAATCAGTGGGCATGTTTACATCTGGGTACCCTTTGTTCCTCTGCAAGAATTTCAGATTGATCTGCTCATGGCCAGAATATAAAAATTGTGCGCCTACCATGCTGCCTTTTTCATTGGTCCTCAAGACTGGGCTTGGGACCTCTGGTTTCTACAGGGTAGTAGGCCATGACACTCCGCTTTGCTGCAGGTGGCAAGCCTACTGGGTAGGCTTTTAAAGTCTTTTTCTGATCCTCTGTTCAAATCCTCAGAAAAAAATTAATTTATGAGCAACTTTCTTCCCTTGATGACGTAAAAAAGTTTCTAGAGAGCACAGTGATGAGTGGAACTTAACTGCATACAGTCCATAATTAATTCTTTTGAGATGCGCAAGGTCATTGATAGTTCATTTAGTATGCTGTCCTTTTGGCTTAATTTTAGTGACTGTTAAGAAAAAAAAAAAGATTGACAGGCTTTTTTAAATTCCCAGCCTCCTGCTCCTTATTTCTTCCTTCTCCTTGAGGCTGAATTTAATCAATGGGGGTTTTTGGGAATTGAATTCTTCTGGTGAGAGGGACTATAGCAGCACCAATAGAAATGTAACACAAGCCACATGTTTAAAATTCAAAGTAGCCAGATTAAAATTAATCATTTCAACATGGAATCAATATGAAAATCATTGTCACCCAAGCTGAGGTGCAGTGACGCGATCATAGCTGATTGTAGCCTCGAATTCCTGGGCTCCAAAGATCCTCCCGCCTCAGCTTCTGAAGTAGCTGGGACTATAGGTGCATGCCATCACGCTTGGCTAATTTTTCTCCACCTTATTTTTTGGTGTGTCTTCTACACTTATAGCAGATCTCGATTTGGGCTGGCCACATTTGAAATGCTCACTAGCCCATATGGCTAGTGGCTACTGCATTGGGTAGCGCAGGCCTAGAGTGTGGGTCACAGTGACACCCTCTGCGATCCCCGTAGGCATGCAGACAACAAACCCTCTAGGCCGCATTCTTAGGAGCACACAAGTGATGATACAGGGTGGAGGGAGTTTAGAACGGGCTCAGATGCAGGGATTACAGCTGGGTTTTGCTGACCAAGGCAGCTGGAAAGCCTCATAGGTGGGGAAACTCGCGTGAGGCCCAGCAGGTGGGAAGAGGCCATTCGTAGGACGCAGGGCGACCTGGAGGGCCTACATCCTGCTATCCAGGCACGCAGGATTTTACCTGGGGCGCCCTTTGGCTGACTGTTGCTCCTTTTTTGTCTTTTCTCCTGTTTCCCAACTTCCAACCCGCACCCCCAGCGGTGGTCCTCGGCCTGCCCAGCGCCTGGGCCGCGAGCGCCTGCGCGCGCTCCTGCCCCGCCGCCTGCGCCTGCAGCAGCGTGGAGCGCGGCTGCTCGGTGCGCTGCGACCGCGCGGGCCTCCAGCGGGTGCCGGCCGAGTTCCCGTGCGAGGCGGTCTCCATCGACCTGGACCGGAATGGCCTGCGCTTCCTTGGAGAGCGGGCCTTCGGCACGCTGCCGTCGCTGCGCCGCCTGTCGCTGCGCCACAACAACCTGTCCTTCATCACGCCCGGCGCTTTCAAGGGCCTGTCGCGCCTGGCCGAGCTGCGCCTGGCGCACAACGGCGACCTGCGTTACCTGCACGCGCGCACCTTCGTCACGCTGGGCCGCCTGCGCCGCCTCGACCTGGCTGCCTGCCGCCTCTTCAGCGTGCCGGAGCGCCTGCTGGCCGAGCTGCCGGCCCTGCGCGAGCTCGCCGCCTTTGACAACCTGTTCCGCCGCGTGCCGGGCGCGCTGCGCGGCCTGGCCAACCTGACGCATGCGCACCTGGAGCGCAGCCGCATCGAGGCGGTGGCCTCCAGCTCGCTGCAGGGCCTGCGGCGCCTGCGCTCGCTCAGCCTGCAGGCCAACCGCGTCCGCGCCGTTCACGCCGGCGCCTTCGGTGACTGCGGCGTCCTGGAGCACCTGCTGCTCAACGACAACCTGCTGGCGGCGCTGCCGGCCGACGCCTTCCGCGGCCTGCGCCGCCTGCGCACGCTCAACCTGGGTGGCAACGCTCTGGACCGCGTGGCGCGCGCCTGGTTCGCCGACCTGGCCGAGCTCGAGCTGCTCTACCTGGACCGCAACAGCATCGCCTTTGTGGAGGAGGGCGCCTTCCAGAACCTCTCGGGCCTCCTCGCTCTGCACCTCAACAGCAACCGCCTCACAGTGCTCGCCTGGGCCGCCTTCCAGCCCGGCTTCTTCCTGGGCCGCCTCTTCCTCTTCCGCAACCCGTGGTGCTGCGACTGCCGCCTGGAGTGGCTGCAGGACTGGATGGAGGGCCCCGGGCGCGTCACCGACGTGCCGTGCGCCTCCCCGGGCTCCGTGGCCGGCCTGGACCTCAGCCACGTGGCTTTCGGGCGCTCCTCTGATGGCCTCTGTGTGGACCCCGAAGAGCTGAACTTCACTGTGTCCAGTCCAGGCCCGTCCGAAGAGCCAGAGGCCACCACTGTGAGCAGGTTCAGCAGCCTCCTTTCCAAGCTGCTGGCTCCGAGGGCCCCAGTGGAGGAGGCGTTCAACACCACTGTGGGGCTGGCTAACGCCTCCCTGTCCGACAGCCTTCCCTCCCGTGGGATGGGAGGCTCTGGAAGCAAGTCCGCGTTTCTCCTTGCCTCTTGTCTCCTGCTCCGCGTGGCCCAGCACGTGGTGTTTGGCCTGCAGATGGACTGAACCTGCCACATTGCGGTGGCCCAAACTGCCTTGGCCAGAGGGGGAAGGTTTGGTCAGCTGGGCTTGGGGTTGTCTGTGGTGGGGGCCAGTGGTGGAAATCCCAGTGGAGGGTGGAAGGAACAGTTTGCCTCTAGAGATGGCCCCAGGCGGAGGAGGAACACTGGGAACTGCAATTTTAGGGAGGAGGGGAGGTTGAGAATTTCTGCTTTTGTCACCTGGGCATCCGTTGGAAAAGAGAAGCAAGAATGAGCATGGACCCTCCGGTGGGAAGGCTGGGAATCTGAAGCTCCTTCACACCCTTCCCTTCCCCCATCTTCCAGGCAAAAGTGCCTGAATGCCTGAATCAGAGAGTCTTCCAGTGGCTAATTACTAAAAAGTGTGCCAATTCTCGTGGCGGGTAACACATTAAACCCAAGCCCTTTGTTTTCTACCACAATCATCCTCCTCCCCTCCAGGGGCCCGGGGACACTAGGGTTCAGGAAGGTGGACAGGACAGGAGAGAAGGGATATAGGAGAGACACTTAGACCCAAGGGGGTGGCATTGGTTCCTGGGGTCTGAGATGTGTTGGGAGGTGTTTAAAAGAAAGATTCATTTCATTTACTCCACAGTTATTCCCTGGGTGGCCTTAGCCACAGAGGAACTTTAGGGCAGGGTAGGGAAAAAGAGGGGGGCATGTTTGTGAACAAATAAATTTGCAAAATCCTAAGATTAAAAAAAAAAAGGTTAAACCGGTTTCTCTCCTGCTGGACTTTTCAGTCTTTCATATGCTAACACACATTGTGAATCTCTGAAGGAGGCCACAAAATCCTTTTTTCTTAGTGTCTTGTGAGAAGAGTGTCTGGAAGACACAGAGATGCTATGTTAGCAGGGCAGGGAGTCTCCAGCTTGGATGATTCCATTAGGCGTGGAAATTATGGGCTGCACACTTTGGGGCCAATGGCCAAGAGGGAAGGAGGCAGCCAGTAGCTGGGAAAGGGAATTTAGAGATTTCTCAGGTTGGGAGTTGGCCAACTATATGCCCTTAGGCCTGACTGCCAGAGTGTGCGTAGCCCCTGGGTGGGCTGTGCCTGAGGGCAGAGCTACCAAATCCCACCTAGGAGCCCAGACAAATCAGCTTTTCTCAGGGTTGCAGTGGAAATGAATGGAGGTTGACTGTTCTGTTGGCCTCGGGATCAACAGCCCCTTTGGCCCAGGCTGCAAGGGTAGGCTTTGCAGGCTGAGTTCCAAACACTGGCTCTGCCATTCTTCCATGCAGCAGAACCATCCTGAGCTGGTGACAACAGGCACAGATTCCTGACGGACTATGAGGTGGTCAAGTCAAGAAAAGTGCCATATGTCTGCTAAATACCTACTCAAGCTGTTCTCTACACTGTGTGCAATGATGACTGCATTTGTCAACATTCTGAAAATCTGTAGTCTTCTTAAATGTCCTGAGTTCCTCTTGGTATTTGGAGAGATGGGTTTTCGAAACCCACATAGATGCAGGGTGCACCAACCAAGCTGTCAGTTCTTCATGGCAGCAGTCCTTCTGTGTCTGTACGTAATGCTAGGTATTAGAAATGTTGCCAAAAGTACCACCCAGGGCAGGAGTGTTGAAATAAGTTTCGACCATTAGTGGTCATCAACTCAATTTAATGGGTTTTAAATTTTTAAAAAAACAGCATTTGAAAAAAAAATATAGAATAGAAAAGTCACAGAACCTCACATGTAATATTGTAAGAGTATTGTTTTGTGATACTTTTTATTTAATTTGTATGCATTTGTTCAAATTATGTATGTATGTATGTGTGC